TTGCCCTCACCCTCAATTCACTGGCATTACAGTCTACTTCTTTGGGATTCTGGCATATACTAAAGACCAGCTGAAAGCCCCAGTCTCGTGAACTCAATAATTACTGGATTCTTGGACTTTCCATTGGGAGACAGCTGTTGTTGGACTAGCTGGGCCACAATCTGTAAGCTACTCTAATAAATCTATCATTTATTTATCAATATCTGTCTACAAAGACATATAGATTTTATCCATCTCCCCCCCAGAAATACATATTGGCTGATGGATAGATGACATAGGTGAATGACAGCTATTATCTGTTTGTTCCTCTAGACTCCAGAGTTACAAATCTCTTCCCCAACCTCCTAATACTGATGACCTGTATAAATCACTCTCTGATGTCCCAAAGGGTCTTTACACTTTGTACCGCCAACATATTTCCAACTCAAACGGTTTTCTATGACCTAACAACCTACCCTGTTCCTCTTCTTCCAGAGAGTAAATGTCAACCCTCCTCTGTTTCTACCGTCCATTTCTTGCCCTATCATTGACTCCATCTCTACTCTTTTTGACTCAGTGCTCTTTCTTAATACTCACGGCTGTTGACTTTGCTTCTCTTGCTTAACAATAATGACCATAGTGGTTTCTGTGTTGTGTTGACCATGTACTATGTGTTAGTTCATGGTGCAGGCCTTTACATGAGTGATTTTTATTAAATTCTCATCATATTCTTACAGCAGAGATGTTATTACTACCCCCAGTTAGAGATGTGGAAACTACACTCGTGGCACTAAACAAAGTGTGACATGCTGAGAATATAAATCAAGTTTAAAACCAGTGTTCTGACCTACTTTGGTAAACTCAACATTTAAAAGCTTAGTGTTTTTACTCTTTAAAGAAACCTTTCTAATCTCTTCTCTTCTCCCACACTCCCAACTCTCTCCACGTATTTCAGGACATATTTATTATTACCTCCATATTGCTCCTTTATTAGTTCCCTTAGCAAGTAGATTTCAAGGTCATATGGCTGCTTATCAGCAGTGAATGAAGTCGGCCTGGACTGGCTTCCTAGAGACCCGTTCAAAGGCGAGGCTCTAACCAAACAACCACACAAATGTACCATAAAATCACAAATGATAATCTCTATGGAGAAGACCTTCAGGATCGGGTGATGCATTTGTCTCTAGGTGTCATGGGATAAATGTAAGCCATATTGATTTTCTCATTGTGAATTTGCTTGCAACTTGATAGACATTAAGTATGACATTAAGATATTAAAGGAACAATTTAGGCTAGAAATTGTATTCTTAATCAGAAATTGCAGTCAGCCTATAGAAAAGGAACTGCACAAATTTTTGACTTTATAGCATGCGTTTCATGGATGCAAATATTTTGAAGGAAAAAAGTAAAACTGATTTGACAAGGTTGTCTCAGTGTAAATTCCTCAACTCAGGAAAGCGCTTATTCAATATGACATGAATTTGATGGGTTTTTGAATTATACAAACTGTTAACTGGGGGCCTGGGAGGACAAATAAGCACCCAGACTTCTGATTACTGGTAGTATCTTCCCATTGCCATCTGTTTAGTACAAATATTTAACAAATGGTCTTCATGTGAAAAACATTCACTGAGCTAGAAAATGACTGTGACATTTAAAATCAATTTTTAACCTGCTGTCTTAAGTGTGTCTGACTTGATAGCCAAAACCATAATAAATGATCCAAGTGATATATTAGAACAAGATACTGTAATCCAATGATTCAAGAACAGTACTCCCGAAATAAACAAACACGATAAAGGACCTGTTGATAGGTATAAAACTGGCCTCGGGATATAAATAATACCATAAATAGATAGTAAATTACTCTGTGACATTAGGGATTACAGACAACTTTTTTTGTTAACTTATTCCATTATATCAAAATGGAAGTGGATTTGGTTATTGGGATAGGTGATTAAAATACATCAAAATGAAAAAAAAAATGTCTACTTGCTCACCTAAGTACCAAGACCTTAGTGTCAATTTACAATGCTATCCTGCAAGCATGTATGCCATGGGGCTTTCTGGAATGACCATGTCAAAGTCCTCCTTACCTCAGTATCGAGATAATTTTGAGCATGCAAATCGGGTAGCGCTAAGGCACAGGTTGGAGTTTAGCAATGAGAGATGCTATGTGAATTGATTCTAAAGTGGCAAGAAGCACTGCTTCAGGGATTACTGGAATCATGCCTCACACTATGGGCAGCATGGAACAGGGAGGTTATACGTCTCTTGGCTGTTGTGATTTTCTCCTCTACAATAACCAGGGGTGACAAACATGATCAAATCCACATTCGGTGGCGGCCTGGCTGCTGTTGAAATCTGCATAGTAGCTCTGCTGCAGTTTGGATCTGGAATGTCCTAATAGTCCATGGATTCTGGTGAAGTTGCTACCTCCTGGTGCTACTGGTTGATATGAAACCTTTGGGGGTGGGGTTGAGGGGATGAAGAGGTCATTGTGTACATGTCCCTGAAGAAATACTGAGACCCAGCCACTCCTCCTCCTTTTTCTTCCTCTGCCACTCTACATGTTCCTGCTGCTCACCACAGACTCCAAGACCCAAACCAGAAGGCAATCTTCCTCCTTGTAAACTGAGTATCGTAGGCACTTTGTCACAGTGACACCAGGCTGGCCAACACATGCCCACCTTTCCATACTTTCTGAAGCCCTGACAATTTAAACTACTTCATTCTGAGCAACATTTATTTTCTACTAAATTTCTGCCCTCCTCAAAGCAACTTTCTTCTCCTGGTCCACTTGTCCCCTGTTCCTTTGCTTAACTACAAGTCAGCTGGCAGACTCTGGGAGATGCCCGTCACTGGGATATATTATCCAAATACCTTTGCTTCACTCAAAACCATGAGTAGCTAAATATATACACAAGGTGATAAATTATGTTTATCTTAACATGGCTTTGATGAAACAAGACATAATACTTTATTCTTACAGTAATTGTACCTTAAATTCGAGTACTTGTTGTGCATTTAGTAATAACATTACCATTTAAATTACTCAAATTATTTTCACTTTGATGCAACTATGCATTCATGCTTTGATTTCCACAAATTTCAAAACTGAGTACCCTCATTTTGTACATATAACTAATTCTAAAAATAATTGAGGAAAAATATTCTAAGTTACAACTAAACATGTCTTCATAACATTAATAAAATACAAGTAGAGTAGTTCCTCAAAATAAGCTAAGAATGCAAAGCATGAAATAAAAATAGTCTATTAAGATTCAATGTCTCTGTATATTATTGTTGCAGTTACACAATTTCATCATCTCAAGATGGCAGGCCACAAAAGTCCACAAAAAACTTTTCTGGACAGTTATGCCTTAAAGAGACTAGAGTACCTAACAACACCACAAATGAAATACTATAGCTATGAGTGTTGGGCAGCCTTGAGGCCAATTAGTCATGAAGAGACTTTGACTAACCAAGCAGGACTCTAGCTCCCCACTGGCACGGTGGAGGGAAGGAAAATTCTCAACAAACCACAGTCTCCTTGAGGCTATGGGATGAATAGTGGAGTGGCCACTGTTTCCAGGACACAGCATACGGGCAGCAACTGCCCCTAAATGGAGAGACTGCAATGGTGACAGCGGGAAGCATTCAGCAGACTCATGGCCTCATACTGAAAGTTCTCTACTCTGCTGCAGGCCCGGCTCCTACTGAGGTGCAACACATTGCACACGAATGTTCGGGGCAGGCTGATGCACTCTTGTGTCTCAACAGCTCTCTAGGCTGCATCCCACAGCTCAGCCTGTTTCCTGCTCTTGGTCTTGCCCTCTGTGGCAGCCTCTGTACACTGCCGGTCTGATTTCTCTCTGATGCCTACAGGATTAAACTCCAACTTGTGAGCACACTGTACAAGACTCAGCCTGACCTGCACTTACCTATCCTCCCAGCTGCCTCTCCCTTTTTTCCCCACCTGTTTCCAACACACCAGCCTCAGCCTCTGGGCCTAAGCATTGACTCATGCTTTCTCTGACAAGCTTTCCTCTGTGTCAGCCAGAACAATCCCTTCTCCAGGAAGCCATTCTTATCATCCTAGCTAGTGCCTACCCAAGCACTCACTTACATACTCATATTACATATGTCCCTTCTGCAACACCTTAAGCACTACCCCTAGATGTCTATATGGTAAATAAAGGCTTGTTCCTAGGATGGGACTAGGGAGAGATGGTTGAGCTTTAGGAGGCAAGCCTTCAGAGCACTGAGGCTTGCCCTTTGAAGGGGACCTTCCCCCCCACCCCCGCCCCCACTCTTTTGCTGTACAACTACAACAACAACCAGCTGAGTAGTTTTGCTCAGCTGATTCTCCTACATACGCTCAAAAGAACCAGGCTAAAGTTCCCTAGACTAAAATGTCTCAAGCTGGCCAATAGACAACACAAAACTTTTCCCTCTATAAGTTGATCATCCAAGATATTTGTTACAGTAACAGAAAACTGGCCAACACACCCTGATGAGACTTTTGAGGCAGGGACAGTGTCACATTTGTTTGTCACCTAATGGGAGTAAATGTCAAACATTTACAAATAGTATTTGGCAAATAGTGAATGAGTGCTAATTTATACAAGTTTTACTTATAATAAACAAAGGGTAAAGAAATGAAAATTGAGACCATTGATAAAGTCAGGCTCATTATTTAAAAATGGGGCGGGGGCTAGTATTTACTTAGCACTTAGTAACAGTGATGACTGTGACTCTAATGCTTAGCCTTCCATTAGGTCTTTAAAAGAATTTTCAACATGATTAACGTCAAAGAGAAAACTTCAGTTAAATTCTCCAGGGAGATCTCTTAGCTTTGGTCTCCCCACATGTTAGAATCACAGGCAAAGTCTGCTTACCTAGGGCTCTGGATTAGGGAATAGGAGAAGGAAGCCCAGGTCACACCCACCATTAGTAGGCCTATCATAGCTGACCCCATCCTGTGACCTTTAACCTACCGCTCAGGAGAGCATGCTTACTTTGTATCTGCTTTCTGCTCTGGAAGGAGTGGGGATATGTCCTTTCTTCTTAAAGGTTGTGAAGTGTTTGCACTGAGGACACGGCTTGGTGCTGGAGTCAATTCGGCCAAGTTCCAAGAAGTATTTATACTTGATGGAGTCTTCATGAGTCAAGTTGTAGACCACAGTAGTTTCCTCCAGGAATTCGAAACACTCTGTGATTGGGCATTTGATTTCTACTTGGCCAAGTTGTACCTGTGTGAAAGGACAGAAGGAAAAGAAAAGGACCACTGGTTATTGAAGTTCTTTGTTGCTTGTTTTTACATACAGCATTATTTACTGAATGCTTTCAAGAAAAGGTTATCAGCTCTCTTTCCAGATAGCATAAGGAACTAGCCATTTTGAAACTTACATTGAGTACGAAAAACTGTGATCCGTAGGATGCTTAAGGGCTCTCTGACAAGTATGTTTGTGAAGTTATTTGATGATCCACAGGCATAATAAAGAAGCAAATGAACATCCTACTTTTTTTTTTAAAGAAATTGCAGCACACCAGCTATAAGTCTTCAGATGAGTCAGCACCCTGGGACCCGCCAACCAAAGGCGTTCCAGAGACTTCAACCTCACTGCACTCTTTCGGCACTATGCTTTGGGCACATCTTTAAAGAGAGAAATCTTATGAAGCGTTTATGTTTAATAGCTATTAGTTTATAAAAATAATGACCCAAAATTAATGTTTTCTTTGGCCCTTCCTTTACAAGCACATAAATAGCTCTGATGTTATCACAATCTTAGAAGTAGGAAAAGAAAACCAAGAGACTTGGCCTGGGTCGCTGAGGCGGCTCAGCAGGCATAGGTGCTTTGTCATTCGACCTAATGATATGAGTTGAATCTCCCAGACCCACAGAGTAGAAGAGGGATAACTTCCAAAATTTGTCCTCCTACTCCATGTGCACACATTGGCACAAGCCAGTCTCCTTCCCTACACACATACTAAATGAATAAATGTAAAACAGTTAAAATTCATTGGTCGTGTTAAGACATTATAAGTACAATGGTAAAATATGATTGTAACTATGAGCACACTTAAATGAATATCATGAAGATATTTAGAAAATAAACCTGTTTGTGACACATTTTATAAAACTTTAATGTAGAATTATAGGGCGACTTATACTTTTAACAGTATACTAACATACTGGTACGGGTATCTATTTAAATCCAGTCAGATTCTTCTACATTAGCAGGTTAGCTCTTGCCTTTTCCTGGCACTATCATGTCCTGTCCTCCCCAGCCCCCCCCCCTCTCTCTATCTATCTCTCTCGTTTGTATCTGATAAACAGCAAAGTCAAAAGTGAGTGTGAGTTTAAGATTTTTATTCTTAGTTGCTCTTTTCGGCCATGGCTCTTTCTCTTCTCCAGACCATGTGTTTCTCCCCCCCCCCCCCATTTCTGCTTCAGTCTTCCTGTGTTCCTTTCTCCTGTGGGTGGGTGTGTTACATTTTTCAAAATGTCAGAGTAGCGTGTCAAAATCAGAGCGTTGTAATTGTTTGTCATGTGAGTTTCCAGTGCCACCCTTTGTCACATTGTGGGGTTGGGGACAAGGAGATTATAGTGCTATGGCTAGAGTCACCCTTCACTGCTTTGGAAAACATCCTAGTCCCTCTTTATTCACATTTCTTCCTCTCTCTATCTGTCTCTGTCTCTGTCTCTCTCTCATTTTAGTTTTCAAGACAGGGTTTCTCTATGTAACAGTCCTGGCTGTCCTGGAACTCACTTTGTAAACCAGGGTGGCCTCAAACTCACTGAGATCCATCTGCTTCTGCCTCCCAAGTGCTGGGATTAAAGGCATGCACCACCAATACCCGGCAAATTTCTTCATCTCTTAAAAATGAGTTGTGTTGGAATTTTTTGTTTTAATCATTTTCTGTCATGTTTATTGTGAGAGGCATCTAGTTCCCATTCCAAATGCTAAGGGTAGTATCCTTCTCTCCCAATCTAGCTCTGTGGTCTTCTGGATACATTAATGTAACAAATACATATATGTTCATTTGTAAGATCTCTGGAATAAACGAGACTTTCAGGGCTTTAGATTTATAGCCCAGGTTGGCCTCCAATTACAGCCTTCCCTGCTCAGCCCCTGAGTGCTGGGTGTACCTCTACACCCACTTTCCAACTATGTTTTATAATAAAGTATTTTAAGTTATACCTCAGGAAAGACGTACTTACAAGCTTTTCATAGAGACAAAAATACCCAAGGAATAGTAAGGTTTGGGGTTATGAAGTTTGTAAAAATGTTTAAAAATTATAAGATGCTCCTTCTTTTAATGTTCTGGAGATTATCTATGAAGCTCTGCTCAGAATGAGGCACCAAGTTAAGTGTTGAAGCTAGTCAGGTACCTATCAGGAAGGAGGTCGTCACAGGCGGACCCAGAGTGACGACAGTGTCAGTGGGACAGGGTGGTGCACGATGTCATTAAAAGATGAGGGAAGCTTGGTGACTTCAGACCTGGGTGAAGCTGGGTGAGAGCTTAAGCTCAATGGGACTCAGCCAATAAGGACGAGGCAGCTCCACGAAGCCAAATGAACCAACACAGTGAAGGCTCTAGGGCAGAGCTCTCTGGGGCAAGAGTGCTAAGCTTTATTCACCCCTACTGTATTGACTTACGCAGCAAACACGCATGTGAAGTTAAGATTACACTCTTAAAACAGGGTTGAAAAATAAGATTGGACCCCAAAGTCTGAGGGAAGAAGAAGCTATAAACATGAACTTGGATCAGAGCACAAGGACGGGGTATTAGGATATCTGAGGACCATGGACTTTTTTTTCCCTACAGAAACAGACAAGTACTCAGTGCTTAGCACATGGAGGCAGTTTCTCTCATTTACTGAGGAGCAGCCCACTTTTGTGCTTAAGAGCCCGGGCTACCTGTTTCCAACTTGATGCTTGAATTTACCTTTCATACCTTTAATTATGCAAGTGGTTGTGGTGGATGCAGCATTTCTATAGCTCTCTGGGTTTTATGGAATGCCATGCACTTTGGAGAGTAGAACCATCCCAGGCATCCCAAAGGACAAGGCTATCTTGTTACTCTTGGAGCAGAGGGTATTTATTACGTGACCACACTGGGATGCTGTCCAACATCCAGACAGGCATCTGCTCTTCTATTTCAATAGTTCTTGGCTCTTTCTGAAAATCTATTCCATTTCCATGGACACCTTATTTCCTATAGTTTTCAAACTCTCTATTCTCTCTCAAAGTTCTGAAATCCTCCCCACACCACCGAGCCAGTGACCTCATACAGCATTATTTTACTGATCACAGGGAGGCATGGTGCACATATTACCCAATCGCCCACTAGCAATTCCATCAACCTGTCTCCATCCATCTGGCCCTCTCTATTCTGGCTTCCTTGGTGTAAGATGCAATTAACTTCTAGAACAACTGCACAAAAGACCCTGGAAAAGTCTTCTGAGAGTTTAAGTTTCGTGGCCGACTCTAGACCTGCACATTCAGAATCTGACTTATTCTCAGGAAGCCAATAATTGGCAGTTGGAACAATGACTCAAGCCTTTCAATTACTCATACTTCCTCCTAAGAACAACACCCCCATCTCATGCACATTGTGACTAATGACCTATCTGACTCTTGGCAGCTACATGTGCATCATTTTTAGAGTGGTTGTCTCAAAAGATTATTAGACAAGCATCTTGAATAACTTATGTGTGTGTATACATATATGTGTGTGTGTGTGTATATATATATATATATATTCTACTAATTCAAGGATACACTTAGAAAAGCCCATTTACACTAAGAAAGTAAAAATTGTCCTACAGGCAATAGTTGCTCAGCATTAAGTCTTGCAGGGTGATACTTGGCATAATTGCATATCCTACAATTAGTCACCTGTAGGACTGCAGTAAACTGTGGGCTTCATAGGGTAGGCACCATGAAGGACTCCTAGAGAGATAGGAGGTGGCTATGCTAGGCTTGTTGAAAGAAATTTTTAAAAAGAATGCAGATTACAATCTTTGCCATGATGGAGAAGTGGCAGCTCTCCACTGAGCCTGAGAAACTGTAATACAGAGAAACTTTCCACAGACAAAGGATCCAAGGACTTCAGCTCCCAGACAGGAGGAACCTGATTTGACTATGTTCAGGACACAGGTCAGTGAATGATGCTTACTAAGCCAAGGACAGAAATGTGTGGAATGAAGCTGGAGTGCCAGGTGGGCTATGACCATATAGGCCTTGCTGATCATATTAAGAATTCCAGATTAAATTACAAATCCAATATGAATCATTTCCAGGCCTTAAAGACAGAGTAACTGGTCACAGTAAACAAGCAAACATTCAAGGTCTTCTTGGAGAATGTACCAGATGGAAGCCAAAGTGCAGGCTAAGAAAACAGCAGCTCTCAGCTGAAGCCAGACTCCACCAGATGCCCAGGGAGCAGGAAGCTGATGACTGAACTTGGGAAACTAAGCGGCAGCCAACAGTGTGAATTTTGGAAGTGAGACCAATGGGATCTTTTTGAAATTGACAAAAAAATTATGTGTGTTTATGCTACACAACATGATGCCTTAAAATATGGATTCACACTGTGGATTGGCTACATCTGGCTCCACTATTATTTTACAATGGGAACATTTAAAATCCTGTTTTCTTATTAATCTTCAAGCTTATCATAATTAACTGTAGTCACCATTCTGGACAATTGTCCCCTTGAATTTATTTCTTCTAACTGAAATTTTGTATCCTTTGAACAACATTTGCCCAATAGCCAGTATGTCGTTCCCACCACTGCTGCCAGCGAGCTCTGAATAATTATAGCTACTTCAGCTCCTCTGAGTTCATCCTTCTCAGCTTCTAAATTGACTAAGATCATGTAGCATTTTTCTTTCTGTGTCTGCCTACTTCACTCAACACGTCACTCAACATTTGTAACGCTGTCACAGATGACAGGATTTCCTCTTTTTCAAGGATGAAGTAGTACTCCAATGTGTGTGTATATGTATTTATAAATATAACAATATAAAGCAGTGGTTCTCAACCTGTACGTTGTGACCCGTGAGCAAACCTCTATCTCAAAAAAACAAAAATCCATAATGATTCATAACAGCATCAAAATTAGTTTAAGTACTAAAAAATAATCTTATGGCTGGGGTCTCCACAACATGAAGATGTGGTGATATATTGCTTATGATCTAATAAGCTGCTGAAGATCAGGGAAGCAAAGCAGCCAGCCAGTA